ATATCCTGAAGACCTTACGCGCTGCGTCGCCGTTGATTGCGCTGAACTGTCATTACTTGCGCTGCGCTGAGCTTCAGTTGCGATTTTGTGGAGGAGAGCGCCACCATTTCAAACCTGAAGTCTTATGAATTAAAGTTCGATAGCTTCAACATGCGTTCACTCAAAATTTCAAAATAACTCCAATAACCTTTTCAGTAATAAATCAGTAATTGATATTACAGATATCTATGTAACATCGGACAAGGCTATTCACTATATTAAATAATCTATATTATATGTATGGACTTTTGTATATCAATATTTATCTCATGAATTTTGAATTGAATCTAAGAAAATATTGTTGAAAACATCAAATACTTGAACTTGAAAAACGCGTCACAGTTGCTCTAAGGTCAGCATTATCCCACTGATTGCAACTTTACTGTTCACTGACTATCTGATGCTCGGGATTAGCGCATGCAGTCGATCAGCGCAACGACGCAAGTAATGATAGCTCAGCGTAATCAACGGCAACACAGCGCGTAAGGACTTCAGGATATGCCACAGGGTATTGCGGCGGGTCTTTGCCCCATAAAGCTACGCCGCCCAAAAATAGTTACTAGGAAAACTTGAAAAAAGAAAAATGACAAGCGAGTACCTGCAACTTCATGCGAAGAATCTGAGGCTCCAGATGCTCAAGTGGTCGCCCATTCACTTTGATGAGACCGCGTCCCTTCTTGCAATGAGCAATTGCAGTAGCAGTCTTTTTGCGACCAAATGTTTGGACAGCCTGGATAGGCTCTTGCCTAGTCATTGCACCCTGTAGCATGCTCTTACTAAATTAGTAGTGTAGACATGAAGCGAAAATTGAACTCAATAAGGTGCAGTAATAATTCAATTCAGTATATACAAGGCATAACCCGGGATCACCAATACATCTTTGAACTACACAGACTTTATTTTGGTGTCATAGGTCAAATCAACAAAGATAACAGCTTTCACGTAATGAGAGGAATTAACGATGATGCCCTTTAATGGTAGTTGTAAGCAAAATATACACAAAATCAACAAACAGGATCAACAATAACAATCTACA